TATATTGCGAAAGAAGATATAGTCAAAGAAAAATGCTCACTGTTTTTTTAAGATTTTCTTTATTTTAAAAGCTACGTAAAACAGAAAAAATGTTTACTTCATGCAATATTTATTGCGTTAATAAATATTTTAGATTTTTATTAACTGCGTTTCATTTAATAAACGCAGTTAAGAAACAACATCTGAATCTTGACACATATGTGTATTTTTTATTGATTCAAAAATATCTTTTTTTGTCATCATAAGTATTTCATGCGTGTTCAGAGGTATAAAAATAGAAGAAATTCCTACCTTGAAGTGGTCTTTTAATGACAAGTTTTCTAATAGCAGATTATAGAAGTTTTGTATTCACATCCCACCTGGAGACCACTTAATTGCGACAACAGCATCATTTGGAATTTAAGGATATCTTAAATTAAAATTTTCTTCCTCTTATATTAATCAGTCTCCAAACAGCAAATTATCGATTTTAATTTCTTTTAAGAATGGTGCTTACAAAAAGAATTGTAATAATTATTTAACGTTTACATATATAATTCATTAATGTCTCAAAAAATACATCACTTTTGCATTAAATCCGCAAGAATTGCATTTAGATACAATTTCCATACTAATTAACTTAACGCGACTTAATGTTGCTTTAGGATACTTAAATTTACAAACTTTTTTAGTTCATCAGTAATTTAATAATAATCTTTATTATCTGATATACACATATTTTATATAATTTCTTTTACTTATGATATGAAACACATTTTTTCGGATTGCGGTTAAGAGTGCCATAAACTAATTTTATATTAGCATTCATTTGAGTGTTTCTGGAAACTACCTTTGATTTTGCATTGTTGAAGACCGGAGCGATATTGGCGCTACTAATAACAATAAAAATTAATAAATATGTAACTTTTTGCATGTTTTTTAAATATAAATTTTAATAAACAACTTTTTATAGCACTGAAAGAATGTATAAAACTCATTTTACGATAACTGGAAATTATAAAAATACTTTTAAACATTCCACAATTTACGAAGAAGGAATTTGAGTAAACAAATGCGGTTTTAAATTTAATTCTTAAGAATTCTGAATATATGCCAAAAACTCTTTTAAGTTTTACATATAAAACCGATTTACCCATATGATCTTTACTTTATTAAGCATTATTAATTTTGTCAATTAAAAAAAATTAAACATAAATTTATATATGCTGCTCCACTTTCTTTTATTATACATGACCATATTAAATATCATTAATACGAATACAATGTAATAATTGACATTACAAACTGTAGAATTTATTAATAAGAATACTATGTAAAAATTGACATAAACATTTTGAACAAATATTGTTAATAGAAATTAATAGATATTACTTTTATCTCTCAATAGCCGGAGCAGCTGTCCACACTTCATTAAATGTTATTACTCACACGCATTTATAGCTGCATTATTAGTTTATAAACAAATTTGTTGAAGACGCATGTTGCGCAACTAATGCAACATTTTTCTGTGCACATAAATTCTTGCATGCAATTAAGACACGTTTTTGTTCAATTGTAACAAATCTACTTTTAATTTTCATTGATTAAAAATTTTATTTGGAATTTCTAAAAAAATAAAAGAGTTTTCATGTTACAGAAAAGCCATTAAACCGACTTTGATCTATCGCCTGACTTTTACTATGAGTGAGGCAATTAAGCCCACTTGTAGGCAATTAACAGCATTTAGTGTGAAACCAATACGAAATGCATTTAGTCATGTATGTGTCCGACAACAATAGACAAACCTGGCTCAGTCTTGAGTGTAAGTCTTTGATATGCTTCAATTCAACTCGAAATGCTAATGAACTTTGATTAACAGCGATTACCACAGCAAGTGTTAAAATAATTAATTAAACATCGCAAGTTCATTTGCAGTTTCGTTTTTTATTGTAATATTATTTCATTTCATGGTCATGCAAAAAATTTAGCTCAAATTTCGTTTTAAGGCTTAATATGAAACCTATATTAAAAAGTTAAATCATAATTATTTTTATTTTTAATAAAAATCAAATCCCGAATGTATGCAAAAATACTATGGATAACTGATAAGCTTAAATAAATATTTTAATTTTTTTCCATACTTTTGACAAATATTTTTTTTTGTTTTTCACAAACTTAACATTTTAATTAATACTTTTTTTAATGAGTTTACCTACACAAATGCGTTCCACTAATTAAAATTTATTTATTAGCATCTGCATTTCAAATAAATTTTTTTCTTCTGTTTTTAATCGAAGACCTGTAAAACAAGTTAATGCATAATAAATAAATAAATTTTAATTTTTCAACTTTTATTACCACCGCAGCTAAATTATTTCTTTGTATGAAAGAGAAGTATTAAAAATTTAATAAATAATATTATATGTTTTTTTTTATTTTAAATATGGAAGGTGAACTGCGGATATCACATTATATCTGATCACCAGTTTTTGTTGAGATTTGTAAACAATTGAGTTTTAACTGTAAATGTTTAGTTAATTATGTTAAACCGTCACTGTCTTATACTTACGTGGGTGCAATTTCCTTCTTTATTTGTTGTTGTAGGTGGCATTAAAAGCTCATGAACATATGTATTCTACTAATAACTGTGACTAGCTGATCTCATACTCGTTTCTGAATCACTTCAGTTGCAAAGTTGCATAAAATGTACGACATGTAGCATCCTTTACAAATTAATACAAATTAAAATGTAAGATATAATATTTTTTTGATAAACAAAATATCAATAAAAACCACGAAGGAGACTCTATTAGATATATAAAACTATGATATCAGTTTAATATTATGTACTTTTAAAACAAAACATTTTCTGAGATTCATTAATGTAAAATTACAGCGTAACACAATAGGCCAATAGTTTGCATTGTTTTTCTAAAATCACCGGTATGACCTAAGCTATAACCTATTGTTATAAAAAAAAGGTCTTACATATAAAAGAGATTATAGATAATAGATAAGAAATAATATAAAAGGTCAAAACCAAATGCGAGTTGAAGCGCCTGTAGAATAGACAAAAACTTTCTTATTTGAAATTATTGTTTCTTGATGTTAGGGTATTTAAATATGAAACACCCCATATATCAGCTACGAATTCTTTCACCCATTGATTCAAAATCACATAGCAACAAATAGTTTTACTTATCAGTTTCCTAGTTTAAAATATAACCCATAGCACTATAGTATGTCAAAAGGAGGAAGAATTTTGGAATTTTGAAGAAAAATTTTATTTAGGTGTAATCTCAAAATGTTTTATTAATATATTCTTACTTTTATATAATAGTTATATTCCTAAATATAAACAAAATTGACCTTTAGATTGCGATCGACCTCTTCTAAAGAAATATACATACTGCTATTATTTTACTATATCATTATTATTATTGTTAGGGGATGTGGCACTGCGACCGTCGAGTCTATTGTGCCCCCTTGTAGGCTTAGAGCAGGTCTTTAAGCCTTGTTACGTCAATAAAAAGTAGTATAGAACCTACTTTACAGAGTTTTATTGCCTCTTCCGTAAAAATATACATTCTTAGGAGCCTGTTTCGTATGTGCATTAGCGCAGAACATTCCAACATCACAATAACAGCACTCCTTATTCTCTTCACAAAACCTACAGTTTGCTTCCGTAAGTATACCCAGTTTTGTAAGGTGGTGTTTTAGTCTACAGTATACAATCTCTATTATGCGATTATTTTACATTATTATCACATTTAAGTACAGTACAGTGGCTGTGTGAACAATTCTCGAGTTAACGTGATCGAAGTCATATTTAAACCGTTTACCTACAATAATTATTTATTGTATAGTTATTTTTGGAACTTAAATAAACTAACAGATATTGTGAATATCTATATACATACTTATCCAAATACATAGTTGTATTTTAGAAAAGAATTCAATAATTAACATTGGACTATAAATTTTTTAGGGTTTTCTAGTTCTATAAGCTTAGTTATAGTTCGAAATTCTTCATTGTCTCTCTTATATTATTGCACGTATAATATAAAGCACAACTGTCCAGACACATATAAAATCGGGGGTCAATACAAATTTTTAAATAGGTTGGAGGGCCGCAGAAATAAATACATACTTTCATAATTTTTTGAAAAATAATGAAAATATGGCGATAATGTCTAATATAATTATATTAATTCTTCATTAATTTTTCTTTTGGGCCGTGCTTTGGACAGCCATGGCATAAAGCATCAAATACTAATTTAATATATATTAGGGATTGCTATATATCTGTACTAGTAAGTTTAAAAACATAGTATTATTTTTAAAAAAATTTACTTTTAGAAACCAAATCATTATCATAGCGGAAGTCACTTCCAAAAGTTGTACGATTAAAATTAAGGTTGAATAATTTTTTTGTAACAAAGTCCTATGTCCTATTGGTTTAAAAGTATTAGAATTACAATAAATTTTAAATCAACAAATTTATCGAAATGATTGTTTCTTATAATATTAAATACGTATTGTGTAAATATCTTCACTGATACTCATTCATTTATAACTTTAGTTGTGCAAATTAATTTAAGAAACTTTCCCATAAGAAATTGCCAATACTTTTTAAAATAGTCAAACACCTAAAAGTATAATTTGTCTCAAAATTGTTGTACATATAAATCTTTCAGATTTATTTATACTATATCGAAAAGTGAATGAATGAAATTATTTCTGATATAAACTGTCACTTTCTAAATTGATCGAATTAGTGACGGTCAATAAATTTCATAAACGAGAAATTTGCATTTGCACTGAAAGTGAGATTTTTTTATTTTGCAGTTAATGAAATGATTAACAATAAAAATGATCTGCTGTTACTTTCAAAATTTTCTAATGCAATAACTCAACTTTATTAATAGCACTTTATTAAAATTTATTAAAATATAATTTATTTAAATCTATGAAGTCATCGCTTGATATTTACCGATTTCTGTTCATTTTGCTATATTTGCAGATTAGCGATTTCACTTGCTGTTTTGTGGGTTTTTCGAAATCAATCAGCCAGCACCACAAAGGTAAGTTAGACGAATAAATTAATATTAATAAAAATTCACTGTAAATAATAGATGACGATTAATCACCAATAACAGAATTCCGTTGAAATGTATTTCATTAAATTACTCGAATCCAAAAAAAGTGGACGAAATCACATTAACCCTAATTTGTGTATTTAGACATGGAGAATAACCAAACATTTAACATATTTATTTTATTTGCTAAATTTTTTATTTACTCCAGTCTCTGTTTTTATGGTTAAATGAATTTTTACAAGTTTCTCTAATTTAATGTTAATTTTTCTGTTTACATACTCGCATTAAAAAACAATCTTTTCTGTTTTGATGATTGCATACAAATTTTTGCTTCGATGGCAAATAAATCAACATATTTTGTCTTTTATTTTTCAAGATCAAGTTCGATTTTTTAAACTTAAAACCAAAGCAACGATTTCAAAATATCTTTACAATACAATATTTTTTTTTGTTTTTTTAGTTATACATATTTTTTATATTTTTTTCTTATTACTGTTGTATTGAATGAACTTTTTTGAATTTTTGCTTTCACACTCTAAAATCGATCATACGATCTGTTGACTTGGTTGTAAGCGTTTTTGCGGTTTCGATGTCAATGGCCAGAGTCAAACTACCGATTACAACGGGTACGGGGTATGGATTTGTGAAGTCATGAAAGGTATACAAATGCCAGCTTTGCATTACAAAGCGTGGCTTATTAATTGGAAATGTGTGGTAACATGGCTTTTAAGTGGCAACATGTAAAATATGTTAAGCTTTTGCACGATTTTGAGATATTTTTTGGGAGTTTTTTATTTTACATCTTAAATTTTAAGTCATATTTGGAACATTTTCTTACTTTCAGAAGCTTTCAACGGTGTTTATTTCTTTGTTTATTTGAATAACAAGATTTTAAAATACTTTGTTTTTTATTTGTTTTGTTTTTTTTGTATTGAATTGATTAATTTTTTATTCTTAGCCAAATGTTTCGATTCCTAAGAGCTTTTGTAATGTTTTCAACAAAACCACGCGCTGTTCATGTCCTTGTCTTCACTTTAATTATGACTACATTATTATACTGAGTTCTATTATTATACTGAGTTTTAATTCAGTAAGATGTGACAAAAAAATTCTAATATTAAAAATATTCTAATATAAGAATATTTCAGACAGTGTAAGCATTTATATTACTATTTTATAAAATGACGTGATTCGTATATTATATATATGAACTTATTATTTCTAATCGATATTTATAGAAAAAATACAATTCTGTATTCAAGTAAAACTTAAAGAACATTTGAATGCATACATTATGTAGAAGTTCTAAAACTTGTACTATACTATAAAGTACAATTTCTTTGCAGTACAAAAGAATTTTTCAGATATCAACTTCTTTGTACATTGTGAACGCGTTCTATTATGAACACGTATAATTTGAACTAATCCATATGTTTTGCAAAATCCCTACACTAACTTTAGTTCTTGTTAAAAGTTTCTTATAATTTTTTTAATGTCAATAAAATTCCAAGCATCAGGTAGAATTCAGTATGACTTGTTTCTACAACTCAAACTGAAATATTCACTTCGTTATAGTTCATCATTGCGAATTTACAGAAATAGATTCATCATAGTCTCTTGTTTCCAATAATCATAATAAATATATTCATTATTATCTAACTACCCATTAATGATTGTTATTAGTACAGTTTCCAAAATCAAATTATAAATTAAAGTAAGGCCTTATCTATATGTATTGCTAAAAATGTACACATAAGGATTTGTTCTAGTTTATTGTTTCTATTAAACACAATATATATTTTCCCTCCATTGGTCATTTATGATGTACCTAGAACATCAATATTTAAAATCCAAATTATTGATTCAAGCATAGTCTTTTGATTATTATTGAGAATTCATGCAATGGAATTTTTCAGTTGCTATTGTTTTTAATATTCACACCATAAATTATCATCCTACTAACCACAAAAACTTCGATACAAACTTTTTGTATATTTTATAATTCATGGAATAAGCTATAGTTACGAGTACTATTATAATCTCATGGAAAGAGTTCACAGTTTCAAATTCTAAATAAATAATATTTGTATGAGGCTAAACTATACTAAAAAACATTTATTAAATAAGGAATGATAATATACAATAACATATAATGCGATATACTTAAATATTCTAGATCTCAAATTATATAAATTCACTGCAAACTGTATTTACTTGCATTTATATTTGGAAATACAAGCATACATACACCATATCTACAAATACAATTTAAGAATATATTACTAAAATAATTAAGTAAATAGAAATTCCTTGTTAAGTAAATGCATACAACCATTAGACTCACACAAGCAGTCAGTGCTCAACTAAGCTCTTTTTAACTCGCAGATGTTAAAATTATTGAAAGTCAAGATGTTGGCTAATAGTATTTCAACAAATCGAATAAATAAATAATGTGAGAAACGTCTTTAGAAATAACTGAAACCTGACCTTTCGCCCAACTTTTTGAAGCTTGCCTTCTCCCTTAACTTCCATTCCAGACAAACTTGCTCAAACGATTATTAAAAGCATGTGCTTTATACTTGTTCCATGTTCATCTTCTGGATGTTATAAATTTTATAATAGCGATGACAAATGTATAGGTTGAAATATTATCATTACCTTTTAGATCTAATCTAGTTTAATAATAATTAAAATAATACTAAGAAAATTTTTCTTTCCTTAATTATAAAGAAAAAATATTCTCCCATATTATTAAAATACTTATTTTAAATAAAATCACATTATCACCACAAACATTAACACAATATCAATTTAAAAATAAATAAATAAAAGAAAAATTAATATTTTTTCGAATAAAGTAAATTAAAATACTGCATTAAAAATTTAATAAAAAATTATTTTTAATAACACAATCGTTGCGTTTTGTTCGATAAAAAAGGCAAAACCAACAGCGTAAATATGCAGAAAGTATCTTTAAGTAACCGCGATACAAGTTTATGACTAAAGGCTTAATCATAAAATGAATGACATTATTGAAAAGCACCATAATCGCTAAATTGTTTGTTTTATTTTTATTATTGCGGATACTTTTCCATAAAAATACAAAATATGAAACAATTAAAAAACCCACAAAAGAATCTTTCTGAAGTGCAGGCAGAAACCACATAAAACGTAAAAACGCATGATTCACGCGTTGTCGACCGATTCTTGGCAATTGTGTTTTCTGTATAACCATTTAAGCCGCGGCTCAAAACCACAATTTAATATATTGACACGACTCAAGAATTGAATGAAAACTACAGAACTGCAGCTACAGAGAAGGCAGCTCAAAATGATTACTACGAAAATATTATCATGCTTCTTACGATTACGATTTGGTATGGCAGTTGGCCATAGACTTTAATAATTTAACACTTCTGTCGCCCCTTCCTTGGCTTCTTCCTCTAGCCTCTCGCTCTACTTCTACTTTAGCTTACATCTTTTCTGCTTTTTAATCTAGGCATGACTTTAAAATTGCCACTTTTATTGGCAACTATTGCAGCATTTGACTTGCCTGTCGTTCTATGTAGACTGCAGTATTCTGTAGAACGCACTTCTGTTCTCGGGTCTTCTCTATTCATTACGGGCTCAGCAGGAATTTAATAGGCTTGACGCGCGCGTTCAGGCCTAAGCACAATTCGTTATTTATGAAGGTGACAAGCATGCAAGATACTCCAAACATTTTTAAGCCGTGCTTTTTTCAATTAATTTTTATATATTGACTCATTTGATCTTGGAGTTGCTTTAGATATGCTTAAACGTAAAAAGGATTTTATTTTTTCCTCTACTATATTTTCAGTTTTATTAAAACAGATAGCAATTCTAAACACAGCTTAAATTCCGGTGAACATTTTAATTTTGGATATTTGTTACTTTTCTTAAAATCACAGTAAAATTACAGCTATTTTTTATACATATAAGCGCATTTGAATTTATTGGTTCTTAGTATAATCTTCCCGGAAAATTTATCGACTTGATTATGTTAGGTTTAATGGCAGTTGGACATTTCGAAATTTATTTAGACTTTTTGCTAAAATTTTTACTTAATAATAAAAATATAAGAAAAGGATTTTAATTTTATATAAAAATTTTAAACTATTTTTAATATACTTAAAATTTTAAAATTTTATTAAAAGTAAAACAATAGGTTTAGACTTGAATTTCTTTACTGTTTTTTTATTTAATTTCTTTATAATAAATAAAAATAAAAATATCTACTTATATCTAGCATATAGACTACTAATGTAGTTGTTATTTACATTAATTACACACTCGACCGACTAACTTCTACTTTAGTTTGCATTATTGTTTTTTCGAAAAAAAATGTGAAGTTATTTTATTTTTACTTAAGGCTACAATTCCTAAATCTAGCTATATACAGTGTCTGCAATATTTACAATAATTGAACTATTCACATAATATTTAAGTATCTACACCCCACACATACCTCCAGCTGCCCAAGGCAAGACCCAGACCAAACCAAACTATTGTCCAACCTTTAGACTGTATCAGTTGTGTTGTGAGTGTTGAACCATCTGCGATAATACACCAGCCTTTTGTGGTAAAGAAATAGAACTTAAACATTTCTAAGTAACACGGTAGCAGGTCTTTCTCAGGAAGGTTTTAAAAGTGCTGAACAAGAGCATAAATATTTTAGCAAATTGCAAAAAAATGATCAAAACTGTTGCTCCTGTTTTAAGAAATTATATGCCAGATCGAGTAATATTTTCTTAAACATTAGAGTGTTTTAATAAAATATTTTGCATGTATGGTACTCTTTCTATAAAATGTAGACTTTTAAATAGATTTTTTATATACTTGAAATATTTACATATCATAACCATATCTACGAGTTCAGAACACACTTTATAAACTAACAGTAAAATTTTTGCAGGTCACAATGAATACATCCATATATGCTCAAATTTTTTAATAGATCTTACTTC